GTTTTACGTTTTATTAACCTTAAGTTATGTATATCGTTCGTTGTATCGTCAACGTATAGTTGACAAAGTACGATTCGGTAATAAGATTTATTAATAAGAAGGACGTTTTTAGCGTAGGAGTGAAATACAACGTATAAGCTTTCCCGATGAATTACGGCGAATCGATTGGAATTGCAAATGATTTCTTCGATATCTCGTACCGGTATTCATAGAAGGAATACGTTTATCGTCATCGTAGAATTTCGATATTACTAGAAATGATCGTGGCACGTTGCTTGCTTACACGATACAAAGCCGTTCTCTGATCGCTCAGCGGTCAGATCGCTAAAAATAATTACGAGCGACCGGACTCGTTGGATCAGCAATCACTCGGCAGTCTACCTGATAGCCGACAATGCGAAAGGAACACCTCTATTAAGCCGTTCCGTTTTATCCGATAGATCTTTACGACTTTCATAGATCATCTATTATCGAGGATTATTCCATCTTTTCTTTTTCTTTTATTACTACGATATATATATATATATATATTTTTTTTTTGTTCCCTTTTGTCGAATTGGTGTGTTAGGAAAAGAAATCAGAAAAATTATTGATAGGTTAATGAGGCGATAAAACGTATCGTCGTCGATAACGATCGGGACACCCACGCGACGTTGTCGGTCCGTTAAAAATAAGAACGTGCTGAGGATCGATCGATCTTCGATGCGAGGTCGACTTGATCTTCGGTGAGAGAGCTCGTGGGTTGGCGTCGTCGTTGAATCGACGCTCGCGCCCAGCAGTCTACCTGCCGACGGTTCTGCTCGACTGCCGGTGGTGGAGTGCCGGAGGTGGAGTACCGGAGGTGAAGGCGGCACGGCGTATACGCTCACCACACGTGTGGTCCCCCACCAAGAGAACTCGTACCTCGTTGTGCTGCCTTTCTCTCTTTCTCTCTCTCTCTCTCTCTCTCTCTCTCTTCTCTCTCTCTCTCACTCACTCTCTTTTTCTTCTTCGTCTTCGTCTTCTTCTTCTTCTTCTTCTTCTTAGTCTTCTTCCTCCTTATTCCTCTTCTTCGGTCCCTTCTTCACCATCTTCTTCCTTCACCTGCGTATGTCCCCGGACACGTGTCCGTATGTGTCCCTACGCGCCACACGGTATATAGAGCGTACCTGCGGCTTCTCCTTCCGAGTATGGGCACAGGGCCGTACGTGCTCGGGATTCGTACTCGGCCGCTTTCGCGATGACGAGCCATCTCGAGCGACACCCCCTTCCTTCCTTTCTTTCAACCCCTCCTCTTCCTCCTCCTCTTCCTCGTTTTCTTCCCCTCATCCTCCGCCGCCTCTTCGTTCTCCACCCTTATACGAGCAATCTGGTATCCCGTGCTCTATTCCCACCAAGTATGGACGAGTCCGATCTTGCCAAGGAGACGAGGAAAAACTGCTATTAACCGATTCTTTCGGATATTCGATACTTTACGATCTCTTCGCTTTCGACGAATCTATCTTTTCAACCTACCTTTAAGGAATGTTTTCAAGAATTCATTTTCAAAACGATTTTTGTTAATTTTCATACAATCACGTAGGTTTATTATTATGATTTTTATAATGGTGATGGTAAAAAAAAGAAAAAAATAATTATTGATTAAATGAAAATATTATTCGATATGTCAATTTCAATGTTTCCGAGAGTAACTGTGTAATATGAATTTTTTGCTTAGAAGGAACGATAAGTTTTCTTCCTTTTTTTTCAGACGTCCAAATGTCGCGAGATATCGGAGTACGTTATTGGACGAGTTCGATACAATAAAGTTGAATCTTCACGGTTGCCCTTTTTCTCTTTTGCGAGTAACGAGAAAGGAAAGAGGTAAAAGTAGGATGAGAGAAGTGGCAAGAAGACGGGAACGCAATTTGTTTCCGGAGGAGTACTGTAGAGACGATACCAGTCGATACCAGTCGATACGAGTCGATACGAGTCCGAGCGTAGGTTCGATGTGTATCGAGACGCGCGCCGTTTAATTTTACATTTTGGGACGACGCACTAGAAGCAAGAAAGCAGAGGAACGGGGCTCGAAAGACCGGCAGAGAATCGAACAACAGGTTCTTCGCGACGTGTGTGACTTTGCAAGACTTGGCGGGACTTCGCACCGCTCGCCGATGAATCTGCTTTTTTCGCGGGATCATTTTTTGGCGCGCGAGCGAGAGCTCCTTCGGGCCTTTACAAAGTAGCTTTCTGAAACGTCGGGATAATTATTTCAGTAAGAACCTTGTTTTTTCTTTTTCTTTTTTTTTTGTTTTTTGCTTTTTTTCTTTTCCTTTTTTCTTTTTCCTTCTATGTTCTTATTTTTTTGTTTTTCTTTTTCTCCATCCATCTCTCTTACGCTTAAAACCATCTTCTTCGTCAAAAAAAGAATCAAACTCTTTTTCTCTTTCCCCTCCTCCCTTCTTTTTACCTCCCTCCTCCTCCTCCTACTCTCACCATCCATCCCCACCCACTCATTGCCACCCCTCTTTCCTTCGATCTTCACTTGTGTTATTATTTTTATATTTCATTGGTATAACTAAGTATTATACGGATAAATAGTAGATATACAGATATATAAGCGTCATATTTCTCACAATTATTGTGTATTCTTCGTAAAGGACAAATTGTCGGGCTATTAAAAGCGTCGTCTGCTTCTCGTTGTAGGAAGTGGAACGTACCGCGCCACTTAAGATTTTCTCGTAACTTCCAACGGTCTAGAGAGAAAGACGGATCTTAATTGCAACTTTCCCGTTGTCGCTTACAAGACGTAACGTACCTACATGAGACAAAGTTTATGAAGGTTGCGACGAAGAGGAGTTTAGACTGTATGTAGATATATATATATATATATATATATATGTATTGTGTGGATGAAGTTGGGATGTCTCACTGCCGGACCAGACGACGACGACGACGAATCGTTCGACCTACTTCGAGAAATCATTTAAATTCGAGAATTTAAATTTGATGAGATTGTAAGGGAAAACCTCGTTGAAAAATCACGAAGATCTTACGTACGAAAGGAAAGAGTGGTCGCTGTAAAGAAAAGATTTTCAAATAACAAAAAGACAGATCTTCCTATTTCCTATTTTTTTTTTTTCTTTTTTTATATATATATATATATTTTCGTTCCTTCGTTTTCTTTTTCTATGCAATTAGAGAGGAAACTTTCTAATTTCTTATTTATAAACTATAAGCAATGACTTTGCCAGCGAAGAGAGAGAGAGAGAGAGAGAGAGAGAGAGAGAGAGAGAGATCGAAGGCGAGAACGATCACGAGTTTTTCCATCTTACATAATTACAGAAATAATTACGATCCGCGAAATAAGTCCAAGAAACGGTCGAGACGTCGATATAAAGGATCGTGGCGGACAATCCCGTAGCGACAGGTTCTCACGGTTAGGAAAGCAAGGTGACTAGACGAAGATATCGGGTATAGAAAGAGGAAGAGAGAGAGAGAGAGAGAGAAATCGGTTTATTTACAAAGAGAGATGCAAAAAGAGAGCACGCACGATTCCTTCGTTGCGCTCGCACCCTTCCCTCTCTCTCTCTCTCTCTCTCTCTCTCTCTCTCTCTCTCTCTCTCTCTCTCTTTCTCTTTCTCTCGCTCTCTCCTTCTGGCAACTCGGCCGTTTCTCCTTTCCTCCGCACCGCGGCCGACTATAAGCCAACAGAAGTAAGGACGGGTTTCCGATTAAGGCCTTATAATTGACGTCTCGGGCCCCCCGTCTGGCTTAGTCACCGGGAACTGGAAGAGGGCCGTGCGGAGCCGCTTTTACGGATCGCGCGGATCAACAAACCGTCTCCGCGCACACGGAGCCACGCTTTACCGTAAAGTTCGCCTATTCACCTACGCCAAGAGAATGATTGCTCTTTTGGGATGGGACCGAACATAAAAGAGAGAAAAGAAAGAAAAAAAAAGAAAAAAAAAATTCTCACGAGCGTGCTATAAAAAGTCGGTAATGGTAAGAAAATCCAGTTAGTCTTTGTTTCAGCGTCATTCAACGGGACCGAATCCCTTTAATCGAAGACAAAGTTAGAAATTTGTCCTTAGAGAGGAGAAAGACTTTCCTTACCTTTCACGTTTTACCCATTTCGTATGAGACACACTCACGGGTGACGATAATGGGATAAGTCGTGTTAACTTTCGATAGCCGTCGTGCAAGACGTAACGCAACGGCACCGACAATGTTGCTAGCGGTTGGCTGGCTGTCGAGCAAACGAGCGCGCGCAAGTTTCGAACTCGTTGTAAACGAGACGAGTTACGTCGACTCCTTCAATGCAAGGTTGATCCTTTGGGAACAATAAAGTGTAAAGTTCGTAAAGCAAAGTAACACGTATGGACGAAAAGGTCGAATCGATTGTATCCAAGTGGACGATTGTTGAAAAATTTCGATTGGGTTAAATACTAATATATTCTTTTAAAAGATTCCCTTTAAGGTCGCAGGTAGAAATTAGTTCGGTCGAGGTAAAGATAAAGATTTACGAGAACGTCATGTACCATCTCTTCTTGCACGTCGTTGATTGTACCGAATTTTACGAACGTTCCATGAGGAGTCACGAGTTATTACGGCGTTCTATATTAAGACGGGCAGAGTTAAGGACGCGAAATTTAGGAAGCCGAGATAAGAGAGTAAAATTCGTTGAGTACGTTGGTTGCGTCGG